TTTGTTAGCAGCCCTGAGGAGTGGTTTCGATACTGCTATGGATCTCTTAAGTCCAGCTTCAAGTAACCTTCTCTTAACTGTAGTCACACTTATAGGTTCAATACGGCCCACGTTCAAGTCTATTGCGCTTACTTTTCACTATTATGCTTAAGTCTTCAGTGGAAGTTGTAACTCTAGGTCTCCCTGAACGACGGCTATTGGATGTTGTGCCTTAAGCCTTAAATTTCTTAATAATGCAGTTTCTTGAATACTTTTGCCGGATTTATGAACACCAATAATAACCTTTTATCTCCTCGGAATATTCTTTAGTTTTACCCATTTTGTCCATAAAAAAATAAACGAAAACGCACTTGTTATACAATCTTGAACTATAAGGTATTGAAGGATGGTTAGTTTATCATATGAAACAAGATACCTTAAGTAAAACTGTGTTATGGGTTTACGTACAACACAAATTGAAATAAATAATCGAAAAACAAATCCCGAAAAGTAATTCCTATACAAAAACATTACGATATTACAAGGCAAATAAATTCCTATTATGGCAAAGGATGAGATCCCAATAATAGTGTGAGCAAAATTTTGATGTCAATGACCTTTCAGTGATGCTTGATTTACATGGTGATGGTTTTTAATAAATACAGAAAAATAAATACGTAGTGATTAGTTCTTTTTTTGTTTGTTATGATGTTAAATGGAGATATGCAGGTGTTCGAATACTTTTGAACGGTAGTGTATATGTTTAGCTTGCTGTTTATTGTATGACGTTTCGACCACCACTGCGGTCTTTCTCAAGTGCAACTGACAATAATTATCATGTTAACAACATATTTTGTTTTCTGTCTTCCAGGTGACATTTCATTTTTTTTTCACATTCCTATATAGTATGTTATTACAATAGTCTGAACGACCATGTAACATGCTGAGATCCATCATTGTAATCATAAAATAAGACCGCGCAAAACTAGCAAAGCCGAGGTCCACCTAGGCCAGGTATTCCCGCACCCAAAGGAACTTCCAGCCCCCCACACCGAACAGCGAGCATTACGTTGTCTGTCGTTTTTCAATGTACAAGACACGGCACCCTCGTCCATCGTTCCGAAAACGCCAAAAATCCTCTTAACACGCAAAAACCCACTCAAAACTTTTGTCACGAGACACCGGTTAACAGTTATGTAAGTCACCACTGTGCTCTTTCTCGAGTACTATGCCATCTCAAGACAAACAACATGGTTCCTTTAGATGTCGAAGTATTATTTCTAGCATTTCAGATAATAAACAATGTACATGCAGAATTTGTGGTCGGAGTTTACATAATAATGAACTGATATGTTGCGATAAGAATTCCGGGTGATCAAATAAAATCACGATTTAATCGAAAAAATCCTATTTTTTGCAACACTGGTACTAACACTGGTACTAGCCATTTTTCACACCCTATATAATAATAGCTTAACAATGAGATTCTTAAACAGCCTAGCTAAAACATTTTTTTTAGATCAGCATTGATGTAATGAGTGGCTTTTGAGGACTATAACTGTGTAGCTTGTCTAAGTCATCTAAAAATAAATCTCCGGAGATATATTGATCGCTGATTTGTTTAACAGCCAGGATTGAAAAAAAAAACATGTTTTAAAAAAATCATGTTTTTTTCTGTTTAAAAATGTTTTTTTAGTTTAAAACATTCAAATTTAGCTGAAAAAAAAATGTTTCAAACACTGTTAATACATTTTTAAAACGGTAAAAAAAATTAAAAAACTAAGGAAGTTTGTAGGGAAATAAATTATTCATATATCAGATAGTTCTGGTACCGAAAATGATGATGTTTTTTTCGAACTTATTTCTTCAAAGTAGCTTGGAGAACTGTGAAAAAGGTACATTTTTTTACTTGGAGTTCCCTAAAAAGTAGTGAAAACTAAAAATTTATTCTATGTACATTTTCAATGATTTTATGTTTTAAAATATAGATTTAAGGATTTTTTGATTTATTTGTTAAATAAGATGGGTTGTATACTTTCATAGAAATTTGTTAAGTAACGTATTTAATGTTATTAAATAAGTAAATACATAGTCATATTATGTGATTATTCTGCTGCTTGTAGTGTACTTGTATTAGAGTTCAATGCACTTTATTAAGTTCGCTCGTTCGTTAAGAAACATATTTTTTCCACTAGCATTAGTTCCCTAGTTTCATGTTTGATTGATTAAAAAAAATAAAGTATATTTTTTTGTACCTATGTGTTTTAACCTATGGCCCTTTTAGTTTCGTTTTGCAAAATAAAATCAATTTTAATCATACTTATAAAATTAAAAAAACAAACTTGAATTTTTAATAAACGACAAAAAAAAGAGTGTTCAAAACATCTTTTAAACAGTTTAAAACAAACAATTGTTTTAAACATTTTGATCAGAACATAACAACCCTGTTAACAGCATGATTATAAATTACCATACATAGTTTCAAAATGGTGGAGGTATCTATATTAGCTCTGATTCATGATTAGTGAAACAGTATTGTTCCAATACTATATATAAACAGCTCATTTTTTGAAGTCAAAAAAGGATTTACAAAAATGTCGTCGTTCAGGATGTAATAACATTTTCAATACAGCGTGAGGGTTAGTTGGTAACTAATAATCTAAACGAGTTAGCCCTTTTATAAGCTCCTCAGGATTTTTATCACATTATTTTTATGGAATTAAGCCATGTACACTCTGTATAACGAAGTTGAGATTGCTCTCATCATAACGAAGGCGCATCGAACTTTTTAAAACACGAATAATTCAAATACAACATTTTATAAAATTGCATACGCCACAAAAAGGCTAGTGGCAGATATTAATGCTATAAATCATTAAATTGTGAGCACGTAGCTGCGAATTTTATAGAGAACTCTTGCCAAGTCATAATTCATGAACCAGAATCGGAAGTTCAATTTGGCAGTCTCCACCCCTTTGGTTTCAACCCCTTTTTCGTTATGATGTGAAATTAAAGTAGAATGACTGTGCATTTTCTAGAGAAATTTCTTCCTACGTTAGGCCATCACAAAGTTGTTTGAATATTGGGATTTTATTTACTTTAAAATACATTTTCAGATTCCAGATATGGCAAAGAAGTATTCTCCACCTGTATTTAATTGGATTTTTAGTGGCTGAAACAGATTTTCCGCATGGATTTTTAGAGGACGATGCAGTTTATCCTCGCTTGTCGTTCGTGTTCTGGAAAAAATGGCGTCAAGTGTTTTTTGTGGAAAAATGTAAGTTTCGTGGTATGTAATTATTCACCTCAATTCAATTACCCTTCTTCGTTTTGAAATTGGACTTGACAGGTTCGCGTGCCTATGGTGTGACCTGCATAAACCTGAAGCAGCAATTAGATGTTTCTATGAAGAACCACTGGTAACTTTACGAACATCCCAATAGCATGAAATATTCATTAAATATTTATTCAATATTTTATCTTACTTGAATATGTGTTATCTTAAACAAATATTTAATAAATATTTGAAATATAATATTTTATTAAATATTCATTCAATATCTTTTAAATATTTTAAATACAATATTTATTTTATAATATTCATCAAATATTTACTTTTCAATCAATGGAAAATATTAAAACTCCATTATTTAGAAAATATTCATTAAATATTTTCGGCTACGGCGCATGTGCGTGTGACCCCGAGCGACCAATAGCATAATGGCAAGCGGACCTGAGCCGACCCGTTTGTCGGCATCCATTTTGCCTGTGGGTTTCACTATGATAGCCTGCTTTCTGTGTACCTCCAAGTGAATCATTATTTGAGTGTTTTTTTTTTGGAAAAGAGTAACTTTTGAGATAATTACATAGCTTAATTTATCTGACTAGTAAACATTATTGTGCCAGTTGAGTATAAAGGTATTTACAAGACCATAAATAACTAGCCTTGAAGTGTAACACTTATTTGCGATTTGGGATTGGTGGATTTATCTTAAAATGGATACGAATCTTATTCATAACTGAAAAGTGATATAATCACAATTTATGGAGATCAAAAATACTTTTTTTAAATATATCAATTATGATTATTATTTTTGTCATAGTAGGAGGCAAATCAGCTATAACTATTTTAAAACTTCGACAGCGACGTTCCAAAATTTTAACAGTCGAAAATACTACATTTTTGTCTCTTGACTTATAATATAAAATCATAAAATTAGCCCTCTTACTACTACAAAAAAGTTACATGTCAACAACATCAATAAGTGGTCTATTTTTAAAGACCTTTTCTTTGAAAGTATTAGTCAAAGGATCAAGTTGTGCCATGGGCATTTTTCATCAAGATATCTAAAATGACATACCAAATTTTCTTAAAAATTAACCAAATCTCGAACTTTCATAAGAAGAAAATGTGTCATTTTAGGTGCATTGTGGAGCTGCTTTTCAGTGACCCAGTTGAGCTACTCGGAGTATCTCAGCAGTGCTCAGCACCAATATTGTTCCACTGCATTTTATATTCCCAGTTCGGGAGAATGTCTCTCTCAAACAGAAGACCATTGGAAAGCAGCTTATATATTCAATAATTCTTCATAATCACCAAGTTTTTTTTTTCTTCAGAGGAGTGGATTTGCAAGGTGCAGAAGAGACTTAGAATGTTTTTTTTTACTGATATTTTTCTAGCAAATTAAACCATTATAATATGTAGAATAAATTTTCTTTATAAACCAAATTTTATAAAAGCATTCCTACATATTTTGCTAAAATAACCAATGAAGAATTTTCCATATACACTGAAAATATGTATCAGATCAATGCTTGAATATCTGTTGAATCATATATTTCCTAAATACATATTTACGAAAAATATTAGATATTTCATCAAAATATAAAATTGATATTTAAAAATCTTTCCTCATATATTTTCTAAATATTTGAAAAAAAACATCGCAAAAATATATGAATTATATATACTACAAATATCTATAATGAATATTTTATGAATGTATAAAAAATGTATTTATTGTATATTAAAAAAACTGTGGCTACAAATGTTTGACAAAGATTTTTTTTAAATATTTAATGCAGGGATTCAGCGGATATCCGTTCGGTATATTAAATACATAACATCAGTATTTAGTATCCAGATTCTTGCATATAGGCGGACATCTGGATATCCAAAGGGACTACCATAGACTGAGAAGAATTTGTCAAATCACCTAGTACGAAAATGTGTGCGTCATAGGAGAAATTGAAATATATTCTTAGCAAATTCTTTTGTGTTATATAGAACGAGATATTGCTATTAGAGGAAATTCTTGGAACATGCATAGCAAGTGATTGTGTTTACTGGGCATGACGTTAGCAAAATGATAATCTATCGACTTACTTTCCATGAGTTCCCTCCATGGTTGTGGGCAGGTACTAGGTATCGGCAGAGTATACTTCTGGATAGCAACACCATAAGCAACAGCCATCATGTCCATTCCTTTGTACGGTGTCTCTCCCGTCAATAACTCCCATAACAGAACGCCGTAACTCCATACATCACTTGCCTGAAAACAAACAAAGTATAAACAATATTTTTAAAACCTCCGAACCCAAATGGCCAACCATTTCCTTGTAGCAAACACTTCCATTTGGGTTACTTGTCTGTTTGTTTGTTTAAGATTTATTTAGCATGATTGCTACAATTACATTCTTTTAAAAAACCAAACAATCACATAACATACAGATTTAGAAAAAAACAAAATTTGCATGACTAACAATTTTCAACGTCCATGGAATATTCCTTTAATTTTATTTTAAACATCCTTAAATTACAAGTAGACTTTATATCATTATTTAGTTTATTAAATTTAAGTAATCCTTTCTGAAATATTGATTTGCTAGTTATATTACTATTGCAATTTTGTAAATAAAAATCTATATTTCCTCTTGTATAATAACTGTGGTAATGATTATTCAATTCTATGCAGTGTTCTAAATGTTGTGGCAAAAGACGATTTTTTATTTTATATATAAATATAAGAACCAAATACGAGTATGATATGAATTTTTTTTATATTCAACCACTGTAATTGTTCTGACAGATTTTATTTTGGTGTACTTATTTTTATTCAATATTATTCTCATAGCTTTATTTTCCAGGACTTGTAATTTTAAGAATACAGCTTCATTGTCAGTGAACAAGCTAGTTGAACAATATAGTAAATGAAGTAGAATAATTGTATTATAAACCATTTTCTTGGAATGCCTACCAAGACTATGAGAAGCCCTATAAAAGTATTTTGTTATTTTGGCAATTTTTTAAATAATGTATTCATAGTGCTCCTCAAACTTTAGTTTACTATCAATATATTTATATAAATATTTATTTGATTCAACATTATTTCACCTTATATCCTAACTGTGATAGTATTATCATTTGAGTATTTCCCTATTATCATACAGTTTGTTTTAGAAGTATTCAATTTTAGTTTATGATTTTTGCCAAGTCATAATTAAGCATTCTTGAAGCAGTGTCTATATTTTCATCTGATACGTATATTAATTTACCATCTGCAAATATCTGAATTTTACAATAATTTGAAATATTACAAATGTCATTAATGTATAAAATAAATCGTAGTGGACCTAGTTCACTACCTTGTGGTATACCAACAGAAATATTTTTTGATCTTGATAATGTAGATCCAATTTTCGTAGAATTTTGAATACAAAACAAAAACAAAAAAGAATAACCAGAATCAGTTCAGCCGTTTGGCTTATACAGTACCTTAGACAAACAAATACAAGCTATGCACACGTTAAACTTTTGTGGTCAAGGTCTAAAAATATTTTTGAATATTACGTTCCAGCAAGGGCTGAGTTGCTGTGGAGCTTGTATCAATGATTGTCCCTTCACTTACACATCACTGACAAAAATATATATAAATATATCAAAATTTCCTACGAGTCACAAAATACCTGTGTATTTCCACAATCCACACAACCATAAAAATATCGAGATTATATCACTCTAATCTTATTGCTAAAATTTGTTTGATACCGAAATACTTGAACCCGTATTACGTCATATAAACAGGTGGAGCCTGTCAGAAAAGGTGAGAGGACTAAGCTCTAGGCAATGCTTAAACTTTTCCATTTCCAACCTGATAAATCTAGTTCGGACCATGATGTGTATATGTAATCTTCAGTTTTTGGGAATCTGACCGAATATCATGGTAGAACAGCTGATATATACAGAATGTATGTATACAGGGATGTATAAAGTTGCGTATTTCGGTAATCAACTAAATGCTGCTTAGAAAGTACTCCCGGAGAGAGATGGAAAAAACAGAATTTTTCCAAAATAGTTTTAATTTTTTCCTGACTTATTGCCACTTTTTCTCCTCTACAAGATGGCGTAATTAATTATATAATTTCAATATGACGTTTCGTCTCCTGTCCTCCATAATCAACTTTATTTTTTCTTATAGGCGCCGTATTGGATTTTTGCAAAGCTGAATAGGTTTTTAATTCTGATTCCAAAAATGTTTAATACGCCATACATTCACATTGATAGAACTTAGTTATTTCAAAAACTATCTAGGTAGGCCTTGAAATTATCAGATAGTCATTTATTTCGCATACTAGCTTTATCCCAAAATCACTTTTATGTTTTACTGATTTTCGACATTTCATCTTTCGGCTTCCATCACCAAGTTTGTGTTTTCATGTGAACGCTATATTGGAATTTTGAACATTTAAATGGACTTTTCAGTACTAAATTCAGTGATGTTCCTTAGTTGGCCATGAGTTTGTTGTTCGATGAAAATTACAAGGAAATACAAAAGGTTTGGCAAAAACCTGAAAACAAAATTTTATTGATGGCAATAACAATAATAATCATAAATTAACAGAGGTAAATGATAGCAGATATTCAAAATGTTCCTAATTTTGTAGGCAAAGCCTGCCTCTTCTCTGAACATGGTTCACTGCTAGATTTATTTCTCTTATTCTCAGTCTTCCAAACTCTGTTGATATGTTCAATTTGAGGTCCGGTACAAAACAAATGAAATCTGGCTTACTTAGAAACTTATGTTTTTCCAGAATAACTAAGGTTTGATAATGTCAATGTATGACATATTATATACAGGGTGTCCGCAAAGTTGGGGTTTGCCTTTACACGACGTGTAGATCTTGAAAACATAAGCAATTTTTCTTAGTACCATATACACCAATGTCTTAAGGGAACCGAGATAAAGGGCTCTGCAACATCAAAAATATCTGAATACCGTCCTGTAGCCGCGACACCACGGAATGGTACAATGTCACTGGCTCAACGACAGAACTGGGTCGGGGTCAGTGTGTCAGGTCAGTATGCAACCTTCAACCGACGGTTACGGTCACTCCTGTAGAGGTAATCGCGTAGACGAGAATCCCTCAACAATCACTAGAGACGTGGCTAGAGAAGTGCAAGTATCAAAAACTAAAGTGTGGCAAACGCTGCGTGAAGAGGGGCTGTATCCGTTTCACGTCCAACGTGTACAAGCCCTTCAACCTGACGATTTTCCAGCAAGAGTGCGGTTTTGTGAGTGGTTGTTGTATCAACATGACAATAATCCGGACTTTTTGAAGTGCATATTGGTGACAGACGAATCTACCTTCACGCGTAATGAGGTGAATAACTTTCGCAACACTCATGTTTGGTCAGTAGAAAATCCGCACGCTGTCCGTCTGGCACATTTTCAACAAACATTTTCGGTGAATGTTTGGGCTGGCATGGTGCGTCTGCTCGGTAGCGCATCAGCTGATTTCATTTTCTGTTGGAGCGGTATGATTTCGGGCAGAGACGTACTTAGCCCTTCTCGTCAACTGGAGAGTGAGTACTTTTTCCTTTATTTTTTTTTAGTTGGTCGCCCTCGTTTTACTACACATTACCTTTGTTATTTCAGGGGTAGTTGTTGCTGAAAAGGAAAACCCCAACTTTGCGGACACCCTGTATTTCTGAAATCAGAATTAAAAATTCTATTCATCTGTGCAGAAATCCAAAATGACGTCCATAAGAAAAAGTAAAGTTAATGCTGGAGGACAAGAGACGAAACGTTGTATTGAAATTCTAATTCTGCCATCTTGTAGAGGAGAAAAAGTGGCAATGTCAACATGCAATTTATTTTGCAATCTCATCTAAAATAAAATCAGAAAAAAGTAAAAGTGATATTGAGATATATCTGGGTAACGAAACAAATGACTGATAATTTCAAGTCTAGGAAATTATGTTTTTTTAAATGGCCACATCAATGTATTGGTCAGGTAATAAGCAAGCAAAAGCCGTTTCTTGGGTAAATCAAACCTTAGTTTTTGGACTTTGCACTTTTTGACAATGTAACCAATTTCGTTGATGGTTGCTATGGCATGACAACCACGTATTATGTATTGAGAGCGTTTAGCCAACGTAAAGCAGTCCAGCGCTTTTATGGATAACTGCTGTCAACCTGACAAACTTATCCCACGGCTACTGCCATTGAGCCTGATTACCGCAGCACCGCTGGACCGCTTTACGTTGGCTGAACGGTTCCATTGACTTACTTTGGAAAAAGTTGAATACCGAATGACCTCGGGCGCCATCCAAGCGTAGGTGCCAGCCTGCGACATCCTGGTAGTCTTGTACACCTCTCTGGCTAACCCAAAGTCCGTGATCTTCAACGTCTTAAACTGTAAGTCTTCGTGTTCGATTGCTTCGCTCAATAATACTGCAACAAACAAAAATCAAAATATAGACAGGTGAATCATCTTTGGAATCACACTCACAAGCGAGCTCAATATTTTTTGAAATTTTCATGAAAACTCAATCCTTCGTTTGTCACCACGTAAGCTTAGTAATTGCTGCATTCACGCCGACCAAATTAGGAATGCGGTACACTGCATCGCAAATAATATTTTATTTTAGACGCTTGGTTTATCTTATATCCAATGATGAGAAATTTGCAGCTGTTTTAGGACTACTATAGAAAGGTAAGAAAAATATTTTGCTGAAATTTATTGTTAAAATTTTAGAGTGAAAAAATTGGATTATATTTTCAAAGTCTGACTCTGGTGTATTTCGAACCGTTACCCATGATTTATCCTTGAAATAAATTACTGTGTCGTCTGCGAAACTCGTTATTTTGCCTCGTAAGTTCAAAGTGAATAGATCATTGACATATAGTAAGAATAGGACAGGTCCTAAACCAGTACCCTGAGGCACACCACAATGAAGTACACGTTCTTCGTTTAATTGATCTCCGATTTTGACACATTTCTATCGGGTAAGTAGCTTTACATAAGCGCGTAGGCATTACCTCTAAAGAACAAGTTTTCCAATGTTCCCAACAGCAAACTATGATTCACGGTATCAAATGCAGACATTTAAAAATCTAAGCGTGCTATTTTCTAACATTAAAAAAACGTTTATCAATGATTTTTGTAAATGTATTGTTTCATCGCGGCGCAGGAAGGGAAAAGAATGCAGGTCCAGAACAAATGGTCTAGATGCACTGTGTAAAAGAGACATACATATCTATTTTTGGCAGGGGAATGCCATAAGCGCAAAGTGTCTGCATAGGTATATCCGTGAAGAGCAGTCGCGGACGAGCAAGTTTAAAAATACCGCAAAACTGCCTAACGCAAACGCTGCCACATTATTAATGTCCCAATGAATCAGTACTGTATGAATATTAAATCATCATCACAAAACAATAAAAAGATATTTAACCCGTGAACAATAGAAATTATTGATTATCATGTATGGAAAGTATGGAAAGTCAAAATTGTTATACACCGAAAAATACGCGAAGAATTCATGATGTTGGAAATACCAATAAACAATACACGATGTTTTCAGCATTCCACACACAGCCACAGTTATTCAAGGGGATCACTCCAGTCACTTGACATAATATACTCAAAGCAGATGCTAACTTAGAGCAACGAAACAACTGAATGACAATACCAGATATTCAACCAGAAACACTTCAATTTCCCCGACATCGATTATTTAACACTGAAGAAAGCTAAATATATGGCGATAAAGTATACAACAAGCTTCCTGGCCACTTAAAACAAACGAAGCTTCATATATTAAAAGTGAAAATCAGGTCTTTATTAATAAAAAAGCATATTATTATGTTAACCTTTTAGACAGGAATATCATCGAATTTATTGAGGAACATAACATTTTCACCAAATTTCAAGCTGGATTCAGGAAGAAACACGCAACTGAAACGGCAATGGAGAGGACTGGAGGAGATGTACAGTAACAGTGTTTTTGGACTTCAAAAGGGCGTTTGAGACTAATGACAGGGATAAATTACACAATTGCATCACTACGGATTTAAAGGATCTGTATTCAAAATTCTACAACACTATTTAATTGTCAGAAGTCAAAAAACCAAAATTGGATCTACATTATCAAGATCAAAAAATATTTCTGTTGGTATACCACAAGGTAGTAAAGTAGGTCCACTACTATTTATTTTATACAATAATGACATTTGTAATATTTTAGATTACAGTAAAATTCAGATATTTGCAGATGATACATTAATATAAATATCAGATGAAAACACAGACACTGCCTTAAAAATGCTAAATTCTGACTTGGTAAAAATCATAAATTGGTTAAATGTAAATCTAAAATCAAATACTTCTAAAACAAAATAAATGCTAATAGGGAATACCTAAATGAAAATACTGTCACAGTTATTATAAATGGTGAAATAATTGAAAATGCTGAATCAATTAAATATTTGGTTATATATTTTGAGGATCACTATGAATACAGTATTTCAAAAACTGACAAAAAACAAATTACTTTTATAGGGCTTTTCATAGTCTATGTTACAAGAATTGCAGTGGTTGAGTATAAAAAATTTCATATCATATTTGGTTCTTATTCTTATATTTAAAAAAAAATCATCTTTTACCACAACATTTAGAACACTTCATAGAATTGAATAATCATTACACAATTATTATACAAGAGGAAATATAGATTTTTATTTACAAAATTGCAATACCAATATAACTAGCAAATCAATATTTCAGAAAGGATTACTTATAAACTGTAGCAATCATAAAAGTCTTAAACAAACAAATAACATATTTATCTAGTCTTTATTCAATTTCAATTTGAGATTATGTTCGCCTGTGTGACTGTTTTCTTACATTAAATATTTTTTTGAATCCTATGACCTGTTGATATTGTTTTAAAGTGATATAAATCAAGGAGGTTCATGAATTTCTCCGGTGTTTTTCATATAGTGGTATTCTATAATTATGTTTTCATGTCCGTTTTATCACATTTTTCATGTCTTCAATCTTCATGTTATTTAAATGACAATTGTTCGCCAGGTACATATTAATGAAATCAATTTCGTGTATAACACTTTTTCTATGTCATCCTCATCATACGCGGAGGTGCCGGCAACAAAATAATGTCATTTTTTACATAGAATGACCCGTATCTCATTGCAAATTCAGATAGCTTTTGAGTTATAAGCGATGGAATGTATAAAGAACGTTCTACTTTGGCGATCTGCCATTTTGAAAGATGGTAAATTTATACTCTAATGTTACAAAGAACCTATAAGGAGCTTCAAAATGAGAGATTACACAGCCCCCCATCCCATTTGAAATAAGTTAACATATACAGGGTGTCCGCAAAGTTGGGGTTTTCCTTTACACGACGTGTAGATCTTGAAAACATAAGCAATTTTTCGTAGTACCATATACACCAATGTCTTAAGGGAACCGAGATAAAGGGCTCTGCAATATCAAAAATATCTGAATACCGTCCTGTAGCCGCGACCCGCCGGGATATCCCCGACTGGTACAAGGTCTCAACCCGACGGCAGAACTGGGTCGGGGTCAGTGTGTCAGGTTAGTATGCAACCTTCAACCGACGGTTACAGTCACGCGTGTAGAGGTAAATGAACTCGTATAATCGATTGCGTTTCAAAAAACAACAAGCACTAGAGACGTGGCTAGAGAAGTGCAAGTATCAAAAACTAAAGCGTGGCAAACGCTGCGTGAAGAGGGGCTGTGTCCGTTTCACGTCCAACGTGTACAAGCCCTTCAACCTGACGATTTTCCAGCAAGAGTGCGGTTTTGTGAGTGGTTATTGCATCAACATGACAATAATCCGGACTTTTTGAAGTGCATATTGGTGACAGACGAATCGACGTTCACGCGTAATGGGGTGAATAACTTTCGCAACACTCATGTTTGGTCATTTTCAACAAACATTTTCGGTGAATGTTTGGGCTGGCATGGTGAACGGTATGCTCATTGGACCATTTATTCTCCCAAATCGATTGGACGGGATGCAATACCTAGACTTTTCACGCAACATTTTGCCTTCCTTGTTAGAAGATGTGCCATTAAGTGTAAGACAATCAATGTGGTTTCTGCGTCTGCTCGGTAGCGCTTCAGCTGATTTCATTTTCTGTTGGAGCGGTATGATTTCGGGCAGAGACGTACTTAGCCCTTCTCGTCAACTGGAGAGTGAGTACTTTTTCCTTTATTTTTTTTTAATTGGTCGCCCTCGTTTCACTACACATTACCTTTGTTATTTCAAGGGTAGTTGTTTCTGAAAAGGAAAACCCCAACTTTGCGGACACCCTGTATAATATAATAATCTTGAAACTATCAACTCTCATTTTTACGTTTAAATATACTCGTAGTATTTGTGTATCAATTTCAACAAATCGAATAACAGCTCGCTAGATTGACCGGTTCAAAAAATACGAGGGTCATGTTTGAAGTAAGTACTTTGTAATTGAGTCAGAGAAACTTTATTTATGAATGCAAACTGTTTCAAAAACTAAAATATGAACATTTTTTCATTTTTCAAGATAGTCACCATACACGTTTAAACATTTGTCAAGTCAACAGCCCTTGGATCCCATCGTCAAAGAGCGCTACCGGCTGATCCTTGAACTAGTGAGTAACTATTTCTTTCATTTTGTCAAAATTTTCCAAGACCTCTCCACAAAGAAGAGATGAAAGTCTAATGGTGCTAATTCAGGGCTGTATGGTGGATGATCCAACAATTCCTAATGACACTTGTCCCGCTGCGTCTATGTTCTTGTCGCAGTGTGAGACCAACCAACAAGCTGCCGTTAAATTTCGGAAGGATGAACATTTTTTGCGTTTACAAACCAAATTACTGAGCGAACTTTACACATCAACGGGTTCACTGACTGACATGGCAACAAACAAAGCAGCACAACCACATAACCAACACCGACAGCGACGTGAAACGTAATGGCGGCGTAGTGTCTGAGGTTGAAGCGAAGTTACGTGACAGGATGGGCGGGTGGTACGATAAGCAATCGATGTTTACTATTAAAATGGCCCTCGTAAGTCGGTATGGTCTTTTTGAAAAGCAATGCATAGACCAATCATCAGACAGGTTAATGACTACGACAACATTATATGGATTTTGATGATTTACATCACAACTGTGTAACAAAAAAATCAAAGTGCTTTACGATGTTTTGATATGCGTATTTAATGGGAAGTAGAAAACAATGGAAGACATTGATCAAAACTGATAACCATAATCCGTAAGAAAAACATATAAAGGCTACTTGAATGTAGCTGTCCTCAAACAATGCCAAAATAAAAGCTAAACTCATCAGTTTTTTTCCAAAAGATATATGCTAGGGGTTTTTAGCATTATTCAAGGTAGTTCAGAAAAATGTGGCAATAT